TACCTCAGAGAGGAGGGCCACCTCACCTAATTGCGTTATCGAATGCCTTCGCCTCTTCGCCTCTTTGCCTCTCCTACACCCATCTACCTCTCTCCACCTTCTGTATGCGCTGGGTCCTTGTGCTCAACAACAAACCAAGCATGCACGCCTTCTTGTCTTCATTGTTGATGGTCGACACATAATGGGCAAGGAGTTCGGCAGAAGGCGGAGAAAACAAAGGAGAAACAACCAACAAGATGGAGGCAACAACACAACAACAAGAAGGAGCGGGTACTCCGAACAACAGATGGGTGGTGAAGGTGGTGCTGATCGGGGACGCCTCGGTCGGCAAGTCGTCTCTAGCGATGCAGTTATGCCTGAAGAGATTTTATGAGGACCACGTGCCCACGATCGGGGGTTCCTTCTACCAGCGGGTCCTCGTGGCCCCGCCCGACCCCCACTCCCCGCCCCGCGACGTGCGGCTCGACCTGTGGGACACCGCAGGTACCAAAACTACATTATTATTTCTTTTTATATAAATAAATAATAACTAATACAGCTAAATAATAAACAACAATAATATTAACAGAATACAAATAATTTGCGCATTGTGAACGGTGTGGGTTAGGTCAGGAGCGGTTCAGCAGCATGGCGCCGATCTTCTACCGCGACGCTCAGGCGGCGTTGGTGACGTTTGATGTGACGTCGCACTACAGCTTCGACCGAGCGCAGTGGTGGGTCGACGAGCTCAAGCAGAAGGGACCCAAGGACGTGACCATCATCTTGGTACCCATCCCGCACCCTCATCAGAAAGAACGGTGTCATGGTGAAGTGAAGTTGTTCTTACGAAGTGGAGGGCCTTGGCAGGTGGGCAACAAGGTGGACATTGTCCACGGCCGAGTGGTGAGCGCGGGCAAAGCTGAAGCCTACGTCGCTCAGCACCCTGAGCTGTTGTTCTACACCGAGACATCAGGTATAACAAACACTCTTGATGTGCGGATGGATCTTGGATGATGGTTGGTTGTTTACACCACATGACATGTGTGCCCACAGCCAAGACAGGGTTCGGGGTGACCGAGCTGTTTGAGCGGGTGGCGCGGGAGGTGGTCGCGCGCGGCACGGCCAGGGAGGAGCGACCCCAGCAGGGCCAGATCAAAGCGCCAGCAGCATCCTCCTCGCTCTACGGATCCCTGTGCTGCAGCACCTGAAGATGCCTCTGCAGAAGCCGAGGCCCACGCGCCCCTCTCGCACTGTACATACATCGGCCATTCCTTGTAAAAAGCTGTTCTTGTTGTAGCGGAAGAGGTTTGTGTTCCAAAAAAAGATGGAGGTAGAAGGTACGGCCACGGTGCCGGAGGTGGTTGCTGACGGCAACTCGTTCCTTCTCGGCCAGCACGATGACTACGTGACCCAGGTTGCGGTCATCCCCACCATTAGCGGTACAGCCGCTCTTCTATGCAAGATTATTTAATCTCAATCTCATCTAGTGAATGAAACTCGCCCATTTCGCCCCTCCCAACGCTCCGAGAGTGCTTGTCTCGTGAATAAGCCCACAACCAAAGTGTGGCACACAGATTGATTTGGCCAAGATTTAATCTTGCACGTCATTCTGTGCAGATTCCGAACCCTCTGCTTTTGATGTGCTCTCGGCCGGCATCGACGGCATCCTTCGATGCCACTCCGTCGTTTTGCAGGAAGGGTACACTCTCATAGCGCCTCTGCTCTTTGTGGTACTGAGCTCCACACGCCCTCTAACGTCCCCTCGCTACGTCAATGTTGCACCGCAGGAGCGCTACGACGACGCAGACATGGGAGGTGCTGAAAGAGAACTTCCCGCTGCAGGCGATGGCAACCGCGTCCAACTTTGGCCACTCGCTGGTGGCTGTGGGCGGCATGGGCCACAAGATCCACCTCCTCATTCGAGGTGCGCGTGTTCTTCATCATTGCTGCTCTCCTGCATCGTTCGCTCTGCATCATGCCTGACACGACACGCACACGCACACGCACACGACCATAGATCGGGCCAAGTGGGTGCCGCTTCTCGTGTTGGCCACGCGCAAGCCAGTCTCGGCCCTGCTCATCCACTCCGACTCCGCCCAGAAGGTCAGAATCGCTGCTGCCTGGCCTAAAGCGATCGCTGCCGGCCTGCACCCACTCACGCGGTTTCGTTTCGCACGTCATGCGCTGTACAGAAGAGGGAGAGCGGTCACGGAGTACACTGGGGCGTCAGCGTCTTTGCAGCTTCGCAGGACAAGGAGGTCCACCGATTTACAGTGAGTACGTGTCCCCTTGGCTTGCTGGCCGCGGTAGAACGCACTTATGGTCTAAACCTCCCGCGCCTGCCTCTAGTGCTGAGCAGAGACGAAAAGGAGGGTAGCGAGTGGGTTGTGACCGTCACGGGCTCGGTCTCGATAACTGTACAGTATCGCTGCTCACATCCACATGACGTAGGGTCACTGTGGTGTTTACGACCTGTTCTCTTCGTGTAATAGGGGCACACGGACCATGTGCGATCCGTCGCCATGGCGCCAGTGACTGAGGGAGGCGAGCACTACCTCGGCTCGGCCTCTGATGACGGCCTGGTCAAGGTACGATCGATCGTAACAATCAACGCACCGCACCGCACAGCGCAGCAACTCAGCCTCAGTCTTTGCGCAGGTCTGGAAGATGTCGACCCTCACAGAGCAGCATGTGTGCGAAGGCCACCTGGACGATGTCCTCTCCCTCTCCATGGACTTCTACACCCCTCAGAAGGTGAGTGAGCCTCCCCGGTCCCTGACCACCGGCGATTGGTGTGTTGATGACCGATTGACTGACCTATGTCCACACACTTCGTTCATCAGCCGATTATCGTGAGCGGCGGCAAGGACCGAACGCTTCGTATTTGGGGCGAGGGAACGAGCCGAGCCGCCACGCCCATTGCCTGCTTGGCCACGCTTCGTCTGCCCGCCGTCGCTCGCTGTATAGTGGTACGGCCTCGCTCGGCTCGTGTAGCGTGTGTCGCGTGTGTCGCGTGGCTCGTGACACCGCCGGCGCTAAATCGTTTCTTCTCTTTTAGACGACGAAGCCACAGGAGGGCGAGACCTACGGCGATGTGATCGTGGGCTGCGGCGACGGTCAGGTGCGACAGTGGCGATACGTCAAAGAGCGGCGGCAGGAAGAACAGCACCACACGGTCGCGATCGAGGCGCCCAAGGCCACCAAGCAGCGGAAGGGCGCCAAGAGGGGCAAGCGGCGACAGAGTGGCAACGCGATGGACGTGGAGGAGCCCGCCGCCACCACGACCACAACCACCATCAGGGAGTGGGTCGAGGCCAAGTGGGTGCTGGTCAAGAGCGTCCACGTGCATCGCGAGTCCATCGCCTCCATCGCGCTGGTGGACGCGCATCTCGAAGAGCAGCAGCAAGCCCAGCTGCAGCCGACATCGCTCATCGTCATCACCGGAGCCAATGAAGGCAGCGTCCAACTCACCCGCCTGTGAGCGCGGCAAAGAAATGGTTTTCTTTTTTCTTACATAGCTAACAAGAGAAAAGGGCAAGAGGAAAATGGCTGCAAAAGGCTGAAATTCAGTAGATTAGTCTGTCGGCCAATGACAGAGCCTGAGCTGCACGTGCACCCTGAGGGTGCCGAGCCTCAACCAGCAGCTACGAAGAAAAAGAAAAAAAAGGCTGGGCAGGCTGGCCCCTGAGATGGAGCTACGCAAAGGCTGAGGGTCACCCTCGGAAGGGTCTCATAAATGCAGCCCTTCGCCTTTGGCCAAGTCCCTCAGTTCAATACAGACATAGAACACACACACTACCCCTTCCCGAGCACCACAGCATTCCCCCCCCCCTAATGGACGCCGCGTCTTGCCTCTCTCAGACTTCAACCGAATTCGGAAGCGACCAGCCTCCTTTCGACATCGACACACTCGACCTTGAGGCCGAGCTAGCTGTCGAGCTTGGCAAGCTGATCGCGAACGACCACGACCCAGAGCTCTACCACGTCCCGCCAACGCTCCACCAGGCCGACCCCTCTCCCGCGACCTCAGTCGTCGACATCTATAACTACGGCCTGCCCACCGCCACCACCATCGCCGCACCCTCTCCATCTCCGCCCATGTTCTGGGATGTCCTCTCGTCCTCTTCTTATTCATCGCCGGCCCTCTCGTCGCCTGTCCCTCAGTCCCCCATCTCCACGCCGCAGCCCACCATCACCGTGACCTCGCCAACCTCGGCACCGGCAGCGGCGGCTCAGGCGGAGGTGGAGGTGGAGGCGGAGGCGTTGGTCTACTACTTCTCTCTCCTGCCGGAGAAGGCCAAGACCATCTGGGTCGTCTTCTTCCACTCACGCCTGCACTCCCTCGCTGACTTTCTCCTCTGCCTTACCAACGCCGACACCACCGCCATCAACAACTGCCGCGAGCTGGCCCTCGAGGCCAACACCGCCCTCTCGTGGACCGCGACCGACCCCTTGGGCGGGCAGCCGCTGTACCAGCACAAGGTGGCCTTCAACTGCCCCAACACCACCTTCGAACGCGCCATGTTCCGGGCCAGGCTCGTCAACAAGGCCTCGGGGCTGGCGCTCGACCTGGGGCCGTTCTCGATTGTGAGCACCACCTCGCAGCGCACGGATGCGCTGGCCCGGCTCGAGCAGCGGGTGACGCGCGGGTCGCATCAGCGGCTCATCGTCAACTTCAAGAACCATCCTTCCTCCAAACGCCATCACATTAACGGCAAGGGCGGCAAGCAGCGCAATCTGCGCGGCCTTCGCTTCCTCTACGACGAGCTGGACAAGGCCGTGCAGATGGCGAGGATGTAGACGCTCTGCAATTCACAATGTAAATAGAGAATAAATAATACCTATTTCAATTTGTTATTGTTTTTGGCGCGAAGTTAGCTTGGCTAGATCGAGATTGCCATCCCCAGCACTGGAAGGAAGGTGCAGGAACACAAGAAGGGGGTGAGGTGGGATGGCTACAACAGGAACTGCGGCAGCGGCTACGCATTTGCACCAGCATGGAAGAGGCGAGACGACTAAATTCGGGTCCGCGAATCCACACATGGAGTACCTGCTGGAGGGGCTGGCCGCCGAAGCACAGAAGCAGGGACAACAGACCCGCTACAAGGCGTACCTCACAGTACGTGCCCCCATCCCATCTAGAGTGGCAGGCCCAGCTTGATGCCGTGAGCTCAACGCTTATCCCCCCCCCGGCGATTCGCAGGCCTTGCGATCGATGCAAAAGTATCCGCTCCCGCTCAAGAGTGGGCAAGAGGCCATGATGCTCGAGGTATCCCTCTCGCGATGGTGTTCTGGCTACTCGATGGGATGCTGACTCCTTGGGTGCGTGTGCAGGGAGTGGGTCCGAACATAGCGTTCAAGCTGGATCAGCTCCTGCCTCGTTTGCACAAGGAGATTGAGAAGAACAAGCGTACCGCCACCACCAAGACGACGACCTCTCGCACTGCGGGACACAGTACGACTCGCACGCCGACCTCTCTTCAGAGAACTGTGTGTGTGTGTGGTCGTGCGTGCGTGCGTGCGTGCGTGCGGTTCGTTTTCCTAAATCCTCACATGACATCTACCCGGGGTGCCACATACGCAGAGCGTACCCGAGAGGGTGACGATGCGCCAGCTGGGCCAGATGAAAATGCGAGCGAGAGCGCTCACAACGCCGGCCCGCGTTTGGCGGCCAGCGCATCGAGAGAAGCGACAGAGAGACCCGATGAGCCGCCCAACAAGCGGCCGCGCAGCAGGGCCTACACGCCTCGCCTTCGCTCCAGTGCGTCTCTCTACCTCTCTCTCTCTCTTTCTCAGTGTGCCCCCTGTGTTGATGCCTACTTCGCAGTTCCGTATGCTGTGGTGATGGCACTGAGCCGAGGCCCGGCCGAGGACCCGATGAGCCGAGCCACGCTCCTGACAACAGCAGCGTCATTCTGCGACTCACCTGCAGTGGTGCGTGTTCTCGTAGTGGTGGTGGCGTGTGTCGTGTGTGTCGTATGCTCACACACCTCACGTCCCACGCCGACGACCAGACGGGCGACAAGGAGGACGGTGCGTGGAAGACCGCCATTTCCACGCTGGTCAAGAAGGGATTCGTGCAGCGTCACCCGCTGCGATCAACCCCGCACTACTCGCTCACCACCGAGGGCGAGGAGCTGGCTGAGCGCCTCTCCCGAACCACCACCACCACCACCGGCAAGGAGGATTCGGCACCCGCTCCTCGCAGCGTGGTTAGGGCGGCGACGGCGGTCTCATCGGTTGCCACGGCCAAGGCGTCCGCTAGCGCTGGACAGCTCCACGGGCACGATAGCAACGAGGAGAGCTGCGACATCGACGCCGACGACGACGACAACACCGGCTACCGGCGTTCGGCCGTCCAGAGCAAGAAGAAGGCAGCGCCCTCGGGAAAGGAGCGACGCCGGCCGCCGAGCGAAGACGAGGATAAGGAGAACAGAGAGAACGGCGCCGGCGGAGTGACACAAGGCGGCTGGGAGAGCAGCGGCAAGCAGACGTCGTCGTCGCTGTCGTCGAGCACCACCAAGCCGCGGGTCACGATCGACCTCTGCGCCTCGCCCTCGCCCTCCGCTTCGCCCTCGTACCACCCCCACCACGACTACAACTTCGACTACTCGCCGCTCGGCGCGTACCACCGCCTTTCCCCCTACAGGGGCCTGACCCCCGCCTCCCCGAACCGCCTCCTCCATCCCTTCCTGCACACGCAGCACTCGTCGTCGTCGTCGACGACGATGGCCCACGCCGGCGCCTCGTCGCCCGCGGCGCCCACTGCGCCCTACAAGCCCAGCTTCCGCTTTGGCTACGTCAACGAAGACGAGCAGTGGTGCACCTACCGATGGGAGGCCGCCGAAAAGTTCCACGAAGGTGAAGTCCCTCGCCACCCTCGCCCTCACTCTCTCATGATGTCAGCATAGCCATTGCTGCTGACCCGCGGACTCGTGCATCGTGACTCATGACTGGTGATGTGATGTAGGCGAGCGCTACTATCGCATTTCGACGATGCAGGACCCCACGCTGTGGGACAGTCACTATCGGCTGCTGGTCTCGCCCTTCCGCAAGAGCGCCGCCACCAATCTCCACAGGTGCGTGTGCGAGGCCCACTCCACACACATCGATCACACAACACGACACCTCAGGAAACTAAACTCGATTTCTTCGTTCTTCTTCGCGAACTGCCACCAGGGCGTGGCTGCGCGAGGACGATGCGCCCGTGTGCGCACGCGCGCCCATTGTTGCGGAGGACGCGGCGACTGGGCCTGTCGCCGAAGCCGCCGCTGCCGCCGAAAGCGGGAGCGACCGAGAGAACGCGACGCGACTGCCCACAGGCAAACGCACCAGAGGCGGACTCGCGCGCCGGAACCTCACCACGGAGCTCGACGATGTGGTGGCCGACGGCAAGACGACCACGAAGGCGGCCACCGCACAGGCCGCGTCGCGCAAGCCGAAGCGGGGCAAAAAGAACGTCACAGAGAAAGAAAGCGAAAGCGAAGAACGAGAGAGCGAAAACGAAAAAGAGCGAAAGCGACGAGCGGCGAGGGGGCAAGCGGAAGCGACGACCACGGCCCGCCAGCGACAGCGACGTCGGGCGCTGCCGCGGGACGCCTACGAGGTGGTGATGCTGGTCGACACGCGCGAGATCGCCGGCAAGGGCAACGCCAAGGGGGGCAAGAGCCGCAAGACGATCTTCCAGGAGATGGTCAAGCGCGGCATCGCGTGCGAGGAGCGGAGCCTCGCGCTGGGCGACTTCATGTGGGTCGCGCGCGACAAGCGGCGCGGCACCGAGTACGTGATGGACGTCATCGTCGAGCGCAAGAAGGTCGACGACCTCTGGGCCAGCATCAAAGACGGCCGCTACTACGAACAAAAGGTAACCATCCACACGTGCGTGTGCGGTGGTGTGTGCGATGTGTGCGGTGTGTGCTGATGAGGGGGGCGTGCAGTTCCGTCTGGCGCGGAGCGGGGTGGAGCGAGTGGTGTATATTGTGGAGGGCGCGCTGCAGGCGGGCGGCAATCCGCACAAGACGTGGAACCAGCTGCCGGTGGACACGCTCGAGTCGGCCCTGGTGTCGACCCAGGTGGGCAACGACTTTGTGGTCCAGCGCTGCGCGACCCTGCGCGAGTCCATCTCCTTCCTCAAGTCGCTCACGCGGCAGCTCACCGCGCGCACCGAGCCTATCACCCTGCGCGACGATGATGAAGACGACGACAACGACGACGAGCAGAAAGATAACGATGGCGCCAAGATCAGGGCGCTCTGGGAGATCGGCCGATGGAGCGAGAAGGTCTCCAAGAGCGGCAACCTCACCATCACCGACGTGTTCGCCAAGCAGCTGCTCCAGGTAAAGCGCAGCCTTTATCTTCTTTTTTGTTTCTTTGCTGATCGTGTGCAGATCAATGGCGTGTCGCCGGCGAAGGCGAAGGCGATCACGGATCGCTACGCAACGCCACGCAAGTTGGCCAAGGCCTACGATCGGTGCGCGGACAAGGCCGCGCGGGAGGCGCTGCTGGCCCAGCTCACCGCTGGTGGCCGCAAGCTCGGACCTGTCCTCAGCAAACGCGTTCACGACGCCATGTGGACCACCATCACACCCTCGCGGACCAAGGATGACTAGTAAACGACAAGAAACCTCGCAACGCGGCTCTATTGAAGGTGGTGTGGCGCTCGTGAGCAAATATCAGATGAACGCAGCACCGAGAGGGCCGCGTGGGAGCTCCTGTTGCGGCCCAGGCGGGGGCTGGTCACCGGCGGACGGGTCTGGCGCTCTGTTGCTGAACAGCATCGACAACTCGCGGATGCCGAGCCTGTTGGGGCTCCCGCCCTCGAATGCGCCTGCCACGAACCAACGTGAGATGAGCACGCGTGTGCGATCGTGGTACGTGTGCGGTGTGATGCGTGTGCGATTGGGGCCTAGGCATACCGCGGGCGAGTTCGTTTTTCTTCTTCTGTAGTTCGAGGATGCGTTCCTCGATCGAGTTGATGATGATGAAGCGCGTGACCACCACCGGCAGCTTTTGGCCCAGCCTGTGGGCGCGGTCGATCGCCTGCTGCTCCGTTGCGGGCTGTGTTCACCACGCACCACCACGCACCACCACCACCCGAGGTTAGCACCAGCGATCTTGCGCGCAGGTTAGTCGAAGAGTGGTCAGGCGTACGTTCCACCAGGGGTCGAGCAGGTAGATCCGCGAGGCCGACGTGAGGTTGAGGCCGAACCCGCCCTACCAGCCGACGCCGCCAGTCAGCGAGGCATGCCAAGAATGCGTGGCGCACGAGGTGGTGGTGGGGGGGTAAGTACGGCTTTGAGGCTGATGAGGAAGATGGTGACCTCGGGGTCGTCCTTGAAGCGCTCCATCGAGCGCTGCCGCTTGGCCTTGCTCATCCTCCCGTCCAACCGCACGAACGTGAACCCCTTCCATCGCAGGATGTGGCCCACCATGTCCAGGTAGCGCGTGAACTGGGAGTACACCAGCGACTTGACCCCCGTACCGCTGTCACGGATCGTTTCCAACTCGTCAACCAGCGCCTGCTCGCCACACAACCACCCTACACCACGTCAGTGTGCCGTGTGTGTGTCGTGTGTCGTGTGTCGTGTGTCGTGTGTCGTGTGTCGTGTGTCGTGTGGTGCGTGGCGTGCCTTGAGCTTTACGCTCTCCAGGAGCATTTGGATTTCCTCTTCGTCTCTCCGCTCTTCCTCCTCGAGGTCCCACTCGCCATCAGCCTGCGCGGCTTCCTCCTCTCCTTCTCTCTCCTCCGCTTCACCTTCGCCTTCTTGTGGCTCTTCGCCTTCTCGTCGTCGGCCTGTTGCTTCATCACCGGCCCGGGGCGCCTCCGCTTTCACCGTCGGAGGGACTGGCGGCCCCTCCGCCTTCACCGTCGGAAGAGCCCGGGTGGCGGTGATGCCCAGGTCCTCGAACAGGAAGTCGTCGTTTTCGTTTTCGTTCTTTGCCTTGGCCGCCGCCGCCGCCGACATCGTCGGCGTCCTGCCGCCCGCGGCGGCTTTCGACATCATCGACGCTGGGGTCACCACCATCACTTCGAGCTCGTCGTCGTCGTCGCTGCTCAGGTCCAGCGACTTGAACAGTGCGCTGCGGTCCTGCTTGGCGTCTTCGTCGTCGCTGCACTCGTCTTCGTCGTCTTCCTCTTCGTCATCGTCGTAGTCCTCCTTCTTCATCTTTCCCTTCCGCCCCGACCTCTTCTCCCTCTTCTTCTTCTCCTTCGCCTCCTTTTTGACGCCATCGCGGCCGCGCCCCTCGGACTTGATGGCCGGCGAGCCCGTCGCCTCCTCCGCTTTGACCCGCATCGGCAGCCGACACTCCGGGCACTGCTGCAGCCCCTCGTGCTCCGCCTGCCAATCCTCAAAGCACTGCACCACCGCACACACCGCACACACCGCACACATGAGGGGTTAGTCGGAAGATTAGAGCGCGGGGGGAGGAAGTGGGGTGTACGGTGCGACAGAAGGCGTGACCGCACGACGTCTCGATCTTGTCCTCAGGTCCGACCTCGTCGTAGCACAGGCGGCAGAGCTCCGCCACCCCGAGCAGCTCGCCCAGAAGCGCCTTGTCGCCTTCCTGGCCTTCCGACTCGCCCGGCTCTGCCATCGTTTCGCGGGCGTCAATACCCGTGTGCAGTAACCCGTGTGCGTGTGCGTGTGCGTGTGCGTGTGCGTGTGCGTGTGCGTGTGCGTGTGCGTGTGCGTGTGCGTGTGCGTGTGCGTGTGCGTCAAGGAGTGCAACGAACTGGGTGCGGCGGCATAGGTGGCCCTGAGCTTGCGGCCCATCTCGTAGTAGGAGAACTTGTGCCGGGTCCGCGATCGCCGCCCGCGCCGCCGGCGGCGGTCGGCCTCCGCGTTCTTCTCCTTCTCGAGCGTCGAGAGCGCCACCAGCATGGGCTGGTCGCACACCTGCCGCAGCCGCAGCAGCAGGCTCAGGATGTGGATGTAGTGCTCCAGCACCGTGCCCTCGCTGTAGTACTGGGCGAACAGGTTGGCCGATTCCTTGAACAGGTAGTCGTACACCCACTGGTGGTGGTGGTCCAGGTTCTACGCCGCCGCGCGCGGGGGAGGCGAGGGGTGCGGTGGTGAGTGGTGTCGCTCGCGGCGAAAAGAATAGGCAGAGCGCGGCTGCAGGTGAGGGGGGGGTCCATACCAGTTTGCTCTCGACGATGCTGAGCGGCGGCAGGTCGACGATGGGCTTGCCCTTGATCTCGTAGTCCTTCGGTCGGCGCAGCAGAAGCGTCTCGAGAATTTTCTGTCGAAGGGCAAACGACGATCAGAGTCTCGGCCGCTGACACACACGTCGGTTGCGTGGGTAGGGAGGTGGGTAGGTGGGTAGGTGGGTGGGTGGGTACCTTCAGCGCGGTGAAGTCGCCGGCCGGATCGACGTTCTGCTTCCACCACGCCTTGTCCATGCACTCGGGCACGTGCAGAAACCGAAGCAACGAGTACATGTCGTCCAAGCTACATATCGCACAGTAATGGTCGTCGTTTTGGTTGGAGCTTAATCATCGACACATACACCACACACACACACACACACCACACACACCACACACACACACACAACGACCGCACGCACGCACGCACGCATACTCACACCCGCACGACATACACGATTTGCTGCACCTGTGAAGCGAGGGTATGGGGAGAGACGGACCTGTTTTGGATCGGGGTGCCGGACATGATCCATCGGTACTTGGACTTGAGCGCGTAGGCGGCTTTGGCCGCCTGGGTGCTCTCGTTTCGGATGATGTGGCCCTCGTCCAACACCACGCGGAACCTTAGACGGGGCGGGTGGCCACCACCACGACGACCATTAGACCAGCCATGCAAAAGAAAAGAAAAGAAAAAGAACTGAATTGGAAGGAAAAGAAAAGAGATATGGTACCAGGTCATCTGGTGCAGGGGACCGAGGCGCCGGCGCACAAAGGCCCGGGCGTCGTCCTCGGACGACCACCCACGAGCCATCGTTCCGTAGGTCGTGAGCACTGAGGGGAGGGGGGAGCGGTGACCAGTGAGCCCTGACCACTGTCGTTGGTGTCGTTGGTCGTGTCGTGTACCGATGTCATAGTCGGCCAGGCTGGCGGCGGTGAAGCTCTGGCGATTGGCGCCGTAGAACTCCGCCACCCGGAGCGCGCCCTCCTGGCTCTTGTCGCTGATCTCCTGATGCCACTGCGACAGCGTCGACAGCGGACACAGCACCAACGTGCCGCCCTACGCAGAAGAGGAGGAGGAGGAGGAAGCGCACGAGAAACGTTACAAATCGTGGGAGGTGAACAAGCGATGATGCGGTTGGGTTTGTGTTTAATTACCTGGACTCTCTTTCTGTTCTGGGCCTGCTCCTTGGCCGCGTTTTGTTCGTCGATCGTGTGCAAGATGAGCGACAGCATCTCTATCGTTTTGCCCACCCCTGTGAGAGGGAACAGAGACACCACGGTGACCAGTCAGCCAACGGCGACACACACGACACACACACGACACACACGACACACACACAGAGAGAGAGACCGAGAGGGGGGAGTAGTACCCATGGCATCAGCAAGAATGCCGCCCTTGATGATGGGGTTCTTCTCCTGCTTGTTGAGCCACCACAGAGCCTGCCTCTGGTGCGGCAGCAGGGTGACCTCGAGATTGGGCGGCTCGGGCAGCTCCTCCTCGATCTCCGCGTTCATGGGACTATTTACATAGAGCTGCGGCGTGTTTCATCATGGCACACAAGACTTAGTCACTGACCGTGCGTGTGTCATGTGTGCGTGTCATGTGTGCCTTGTGTGTCGTGTCATGTCGTGGCGTGTGTGTCGTGTGGTATGTGCCTGTATGTTGTCGTAGGCTGTCCGGCCCGGCAATGCCGGTGTGGTCGGCGCTTCCAGCAGAGACACGCTCCGGTATCCAAAAATGTCTGTGTGGTCATCGTCGTCGTCGTCGCTGTCGATGATCCGTCGCCGCCCGCGCCTGCCGGTCGGCGTGGCCGCAGGCGCCGCCGTTTCGTTGTTGGTGAACATCGCGCCGAGGAAGGACGACGAGGTGCGTGATGACGCGCTGCGCCGGAGCTCCGCCCTCCTGCGCAGGGCCGCCACCACCGCCTCGATCGAGAGCCCCGACGCGAGCGCGTCCTGCATCTGCTGATAGAGGCCCTGCTCGCTCATTTCGCCGGCTTCGTCTTCCTCTTGCTCGCCGTCGTCGCCGATCAGCCGGCGCCGCTTGACCCGATCGGCGTTGGACAGGTCCGTCACGTCGCTGGCCATCGCCGCGCTGCTGCTGCTGGCGGTGGTCGTCGGGGTGCCCATGTGAGTCTGAGCCGCCGCCGCAGACATTACGGACGCCTTGCGCTCGAGACCGCTGGCCTTGCCGCCGGAAGGCGTGGTCATGACGACTTCCACGGCCGAGTCGAGATCGTCTTCGTCGTCGTCGCCTATGGACGTGAGATCGATTACGGTCGATGACGAGGAAGAGGACTGGGTGACGGTGTACGACGACGACGACGACGACGACGAAGCCGGGGAAGGGAACGCGGGCTCGGCCTTGGCAACGCGCGAGACGACTTCGTCCTCCTGCGAGAGGTCGATCGCGCTCGATCGGCCAATGACCGTCGGTTGCGGCGGCCGTGCCGCCGGCACTGATGCTGGTGGTGGTAGGGGTATTGTGCGCGGCGGCGGCGGAGTGGCAATCGGTGGAGCTCGCGGAAGTGGTGACGGCAACGGCGATTGAGGAAAGCTGGGCGAAGCACTGGCCTGCAGCGGTCGAGGAGGTTGTGGAATCGCGGGCGATGGCTGCGGCGCTGGCGCTGGTGTCTGTGGCACATGACACAGCACACGAAAAAACGCGCACGCACCCACACCACACACACACACACCACGCAAAGTGAGAAACGAGCACACGAAGACGAACTGCGTGGAAAGTGGTCCTACGGAGGAGGCGCGGGCTTTCTTGGCGTCGTCGGCAACGAGGCGCTGCACGAGCTCAGCCTTGTTACCGGAAAGGGGCAGGCCGCGCTGCCGCAGGAGCGGCTTCAGATCGACCACCCGCATGTTGCGGTAGGCCACCTCGCCCGTCTGCGGCTGCAGCGGCTGCAGACCCGGCAGAAGCGGGATCAGCGGCGCTGCCGACGGCGTCGGCGACGGGACAGGGGCGATAGCGGCCGCCGCCGGCACAACGGGAAGCGGCGCCGAAGCGGGCACAGCAGCAGCTGAAGAGAGAGGTGGTAGAGCAGCGATAGAAGGAGAAGGAGAAGAAAGAGGAAGTGGTGCAGCGACAGATAGAGACGGGGATGGAGAAGAGAGAGGGATGGCCATGGGTGGCGGCGGCGGCGGTTGGGCGATGGCGGTGTCGGTTCGGGTCATGAACATGGCAATGGCACGTTCGACCATGTTGGCGAAGGAGACTGCTGCAGATGGAGCAGGCGCGTCGGGCGCTATTGGTGGAGGTGGCTCGGCCGCCACGGCGGGGGCACAGATGGGGGTCGAATCACTATCCGCTACGCTTGTACGATTTTGCACAAAATCCATTGGCTGTGGCGGTTCGTCCGGAGGGGCCGATGGACGTACGTCAGCATTGAACTGGAACGCGGGCTCGATTTCCATTTCATCTTTGGGCAGCCGGCTCGCTTCATCGGCCGCCTGTCTCTCCATCTCTTACGATCCTCTCGTGTTTCGATTTCTGTAAAGTATTTCGGCCAAGCCTCGGCCAAAATGTTCGAATGGTTTTTTGCTTTATTTTATTTATTTATTTGTCTGTAAAGAATTAGGAAATCATGAGAAAAGAGCAAAGAAAATAGATCGTGGCGACGTGCAACCGACTTCTTCTCCGGCCTCACGACAAGCACCGCAGCAGCAGCAGCAAGTACCTGAAGAGAGAGATGAACTTCTTGCGACGCGTGTTCGGTGGGGGTGACAAGGCCGAGGCCAAGGCGGAGAAGGGCAAGGAGAAGGCCAAGGAGAAGGCCAAGGAGAAGGCCGAGAAGCCGGCCAAGGCGGCCGCTGAAAAGGCGGAGAAGGCCGCCGCCGAGCCCAAGGCGAAGGAGGCCAAGCAGGAGAAGAAGGAGAAACCGGCCAAGGCCGCCGCTGCGGCTCCGGACTCGCCCAAGGAGGAAAAGAAGAAGAAGGATACGCCCAAGGCGGCCGCCCCCGCCGCTTCGTCGTCTTCGTCGTCGTCGTCGCCCTCGGGCGGGGACGCTGCGGAGACGCTGAAGGTGGACAAGGACCTGCACTGCTACATCATCGGACCCAAGGGCGCCACCATCAAGCAGCTCCAGGCCGACACCGGTACCCTGCTCCTTCCCACTCGGTGCCGCAGTTAGTTGCACTCAAACCTTTTTACGGCTACTTGGTATTTATTTATCGAAATTAATTTGTTAATTATTTGTTTTTAAATCAAATAAATCAGGCGCGCGGATCGAGGTGCCGAAGGATGGGTCGAACAAGGTGACCATCACCGGCAGCGCCGAGGCCGTCGCACAGGCCAAGGCCGAGATCAAGAAGATCGTCGACGAGCAGTCCGCCCGCAAGGTACTCCGTTTGCCCCTTTTTCTCGGCCGTTGCCATGGCGTCTCTAACCGTTGCGTGTGCTACCCCCAACTTCACCCCTAGGCCGCCATCGTCACCCCGGAAGAAGCCGAAGAGCAGTCCCAGCGCAACGGTATGACAAATAGCCCCCCCACGTGATAGGTGAAGTGTTGGTCTGGTCTTGTTTTGTTTTGTTGTCGTGCGGGCGAGCGATCTCACGCTTTCTCTCGACTCCGCTCCGCTCTCTCTACGTTGGCGGGTTGGCAGAGGAGGCGTACCAGGCGGCCAAGAAGAACGTGGACAAGCACGCGCAGCTGAGGGACAAGTACTTCAAGGAGGCCGAGGAGGCCTACGCCGCCGGCGACAAGGACAAGGCCCGCGAGCTGCGAGGTACGACGAAGCCAGCGACCACAACAACGACACGCACTTGGCGTGTGCGTGTGCGTGTGCGTGTGCGTCATGGATGACCAATTCACTAACTTGTTCTCTCTCGCCCCTAACAGAGAAGGCCAAGGGCGAGACCGCGAAGATGGAGGAGGCCCAGGACAAGGCCGCCAGGGAGGTGTTCGATAAAGTGTACGAAGTGTCGCCGCCTCCTCCTCCTCCTCTGGTGCTCCGCGCCGCTGCGGCGACTGGCTTGCTCACCTGCGGCAACACAGGAACAAGGGCAAGGGCATCGCTGCCATCGACCTGCACGGTCAGCAGGTCAAGCCCGCCATGAAGCTGCTCGAGGAGCGCCTGGCAACTCTGGCCGCCAAGCACCCTGGTGCGTGTTGTGCGTGTGCGTGTGCGTGTGCGTGTGTGCGTGTGCGTGTGCGTGTTGTGCACCCAGTGTGCTGATCTCGAGATGGTTGAACTGTTGGCGCAGACGTCAAGGAGCTGTCGGTAATCACCGGAGCGGGCAACCACAGCGGCAAGGAGGGACCCAAGATCAAGCCGGCAGTGGAGAAGTACTTCCAGGAGCACAGCATGACCTACAGGCACGAGAAGAACGGCGAGCTCGTCCTCACCCTGTAAACAGTTCAGCCCGACACGAGCAGTCCACCGCGCAGCGGGGCCAAAACGCCGATCTAACAACACGGGGACACACAGAGTTTCTTTTTTGGCGCCAACCGTTTTACGAAATGTTCAAAACAATTCAATTCACAATGCGCCCATGAAGGAAGACGAATGAAGCAAAGTGTACGCCGGCCCAGCACCAGCCAAGAGCCGAGCATCCCCGAGACGAGGATGAAGCCATGGACGTCATCAATTACAGTGGCCTGGGCAATTGGGGCCTGCCCAAGGACGGGCCCGAAATCGACCATGCTGCTGCCTTCCATCGCTTCGCGGGCAAGATACGGGAGAAGCTCTTGGCCAACACGCTCCCGGCTGTGCGTAACCCCCCCCCCATCTATTGTCCCCCGAGTCACGCTCTTTTTATTTATTTACTTTTAAAAAACAATCAGCCCACCAAAAAGGGCGTCCAGAAACACTGCAAAGCACTCTTGCCCGAAGCACTGGAGATTGATGACCTTGTGAAGCCCCCAGAGGGAATTCCTGAAAAGGCGGTACGGTACGCCCGTTGACTGACCCCACTCCTTGGCTCTCCATGCCTAACTAAGCACCATCACAACACCCTCCCACCTTCGCGTGGTGCAATAGATACGACAATGGTGGAAGGTCATCATGAGCGCTGAGGCCCGAGACGCACTGCTAGACCTGACGCAGAATCCAACTGATCCGATCCAAGAAGGTGCACACAGAGCTTCCGCCCGTCCCTATTCGGTTGCTTGCATTGCAGCACGCATAAAGGAGGGAGAGCTGCAGAAGTTGTTCGCCGCCGGGGAAGAGTACCGCCTCTCTTTGCTTTCATGTTTTGCTGTTGCTGTAATTATTTTTATTTTTGTTTTTTTCTTTATTTTTAAACCACTGCAGCACACAGGTCATGCTTCCGCCTGAGAAACAATTCAAGAACCTCAGCCCACGCCGCCCCGACCGAGCTGTTGGATTTGACGCCCGCCACTGGACCGCCCTACAAGAGAACGACCGCGTCATCCCTCCGGGGAACAAGGACGTTTGTTTCTGCTGGTACTGTGAGGTACGGCCAACTGTTTCCCTTTTGCCCTCTTGGCAGAAACTGCTGACACGTGATGGTCATCATCATCATATCAGGAACTCTGCGGCTATGAGACCTTCAAGGACCTGGCCAAGTCGGCCTTCCTCCTGCGCCTGGCGCTCCAGCATTGGTTTTACTGGGCGCAGGTCAACGGCATCGAGCTGTACGAGACCAGGGATCGGTACGGGGAATCGATTAAGGTCGAGCCGTACCGGCCTAGCGGGAGCCGTGGCGGCGAGGACGAGCATCAGGAGGAGAAGGCCAAGGAGACGGCGGCGGCAGCATCCGAACATTGCAAGGAGGACAGGAAGGGTCCCATAAGGCGCTCCTCGCAGCGTCCCAAGCAGCACACGCAGCGATACGACCCCGCGACAGAGGACGAAAAGCAGCCACTCCAAACACAAAAGAGGAAAAGATCGACAGGCAGTGAGAGAGGCGAGAGGCGACTGCCGGAGGCGAACGACCCACCAGAGAGAAAGAAACAGAAGAGGGATGGAGGAGGAGGAGGAGGAGGAGGAGGAGGAGAGAATCTGTTCGGCGGGACGGCAGAGTGTCCTCCCGGATTGACATCAACAAGCACCACGTCAGGACGGAGCAGCGACATCGACGATCGATTCTGGCTGCTCTGCCTGATGATCACCAACGGCCACGACGTCTTCCCCTTCATCGGCTGGCGCGAACCCAGGCTGGAGAACCGGGTGGTCTTCGTCAATCTGCTCGTGAAACCGCTGAGCATGCTCAAGAGCGGCGACAGGCTGGCGATGATGCGTCTCGCGCTCAACTACACGGCGATTCGAGGGCTTCCTCTCCGCCAGATCGCCCTCCGGCTGCTGCAGGACCCAACAGTCAAGATACCGGCCAACTACGTGGCGGGCCGCGACAGATAAAACTCAAACCGACGGGACCCTTCTCCTCGAGCACCTCCGGCGGGAGCGACAACCGGGATCGGAACCCGCTGAGCTCGGGTTCAAGTCGCGCCAACAAGTCGACCGGCAGGCGAAGCGGACAAGAAGACGGCACGACGAACGCTCCGCAGCCAAGGGGCTGTTCCGGACAAGAAGGGAGGCCGCACGACGCACTGGAGGGACGAAGCAGCAACGAACACCACCCACTTCTTCTGACGCTCAAGGTCGGCTCTCCATTCGTGAACCCACGAGTGAGGATCAGGTACACACTCACACTCACACTCACACTCACACGCTCACCCTCATCCCTCTCGACCCGTACTTCTTCATTAGTCCATTTCGTTTCTATCTATTTATATATCTACATATATCTACATATATCTACATATATCTACATATTCCATATATATATATATATCTGCATCACCGAACCTTTTTTCTTCCTCTTCCTCCTGTTGGTGGCGGTCGGTGGTCTGTCTTTGGGGGGGGGGGAACAGGGGACAACGTGCGTCTACGCCGCGCTGTTTGATGGCCAAGAGGCCGTGGCCAAGCTGACCGACGAGGCCTCGGCAACACACCTCATCTACAGCAATGAGAAACGCCTCTTGCGCCGCCTCGGTACTTCCCTGCGCCCCCTCCCCCCCAAATCACACTCACCCACCTGTGTGTGTGTGAGAGAGAGAGCGCGCACGTACTCATATGAGATCACAAATGGTGCGGCGACGGGGGGGGGGCAACACCACCCACAGGCGGAAGATATCACACGGTCCAGCTCTTGGCTTCAAAGAAGTGTGTCAAGTTCAGCTACATCAACAAGACGGCAGTGCTCGTATTCAAACTTGCTCAACCCCAGGTATAAACACTCCTTGTGACTATGCGCGCGCGCGCACCACACACACACACCAACACTCGGACGTGCGGGCACAGGCACAAAGGGAGGTCGGTCCAACAACGCCGAAACAGATCACGATCTACATGCACCACCTCTTTCAGGTGCGCGAGCTCCTCCTCCTCCTCCTCGCCAGGGACCCTGAGGGGATCTTCGCCTCCAACGCGCTGAGAATCGTCGTGGCGCTGCGTGCGTGCGTGCGTGTGCGTCTCAGGCGCTCGAGTACTGTCATTCGCTGGGCATTGTCCACAGCGACGTGAAGCGTGACAACATGCTCTGGGATGACCAGCACAACCAAGGCACCCTCATCGACTTTGGCTTCTCCAAGGACAGACACTCACCCGCGGTACCCCTCTCCCCCCCCTCCACCCAAATCAGCTCCCTCCCTCCCTCCCTCCCTCCGTTTCGTATTTCGTTTTTCGTATTTGTTCCACATGTTCACCAACAAGCGGCGCAGCTACTGCGAGAGTCGTTTCATGGGACAAAGGACTACATGCCGCCCGAACACAAGAACTCGCCCGCCGGTGACATGTGGAGCGCGGGCATCCTCCTCAGCAAACTGGTGTGTGTGTGTGTGTGTGCGTGTGTGTGTGCGTGCGTGCGTTCCTTCTCTTTCTTCCGTTGCCCTTTCTCTCTAACACGAGGAGACCACCAGATCCACAGCAGCAGAAGCAGCGGCAGCCACGATGCCTGGCGCACGTGTCCGTCCCTGGCCACCGCACCGCCGACTGGCACTCTGGCCCACACAAGGTGCCGTTTCCCCCCCCTCCCCAGCCCGCAGGGTGACGAGGACAGGGGTAGAGTTTTGCTGCAACGCGTGTGCCGTGTGCCGTGTGCGTTCGCAGAGAGGGCGAGGAAGGTCTGCAAGTGAACTGCAGTGCACTGGCCTTCGTGGGTGAGGAGGAGCACGCATGCTTCAACGAGGCCGCGCACCGGCTGTTGCGGTCTCTGCTGGCGCAAGACCCACGCGATCGGCCGTCAGCCAGCCAAGTCCTCCAACATGACTGGTTCAAGTTGCTCGCTTCTGAGAGCCACACCGACGCGCAAGAGCTGGGCCACGCCACATCGCCCCTCGACCGGAGTGGTGAAGGGGAAAAACAAACGCGTTTGTTACAGAACCTGTTCTTGTTGGGGGAACAGGTTTTGTAACAAGAACAGGTTTTGTCACCGTCGGACACGTGCAGTAGGCGATCGCGTAGCCCTTTCCGCCGGCGGTGCCCTCTGGCGAAGATGATGTGGAGGCCATCGTAGATGAGAAGCGCTGTGTGGTGCGATTGAGCGTGCCTACAAGATGGGGGTGCAGATGAGAGTGTGCGAGCGCATGAACAAGTGAATCGAGTGCTCCTCATTTAAATCAGGAGTGCACAAGAAAACTTCTGGAGAAAGTCTTCTACGCCCTCCCCTCTCTTTCTGTGGAAGAACTCGTCATGACATCTTTTCATTCATTGAATGAGAGTTGCGCATGGAGTGAAGGAAATAGAGGATGAGAAGATGGACTATTTACTGGTGCTTGGTGATGCCCTCAGCGATCTTGGCCTCGCTGGCGCCGACCACCTCGTGCACCTTGCTGCCGTTCTTGAAGAAGAGGAAGGTGGGCATGGCGCTCACGGAAAGCTCAGCGGCGAGATCGCCGACCTCATCCACGTCGACCTTGAGGAACACCACGTTGGTGTTCTCCTGGCTCATCTTCTCGATGGCGGGCGCGATGCGCTTGCACGGGCCGCACCACGTGGCAAAGAAGTCCACCACGACCTACATTGTGCAACATCACGAAGCGATTAGAACGCTGTTCTTCTCCCACGGCCAGTATCACGGGAGAGGAGTAATCTCATACCAGCTTGCTGCCGGCGTTGGCGAGCTCAGTGTTGAATTCGTCCTTGCTGGTGACCTGCTTGACCATCTTGATTGATTTAGTTGTTGTGTGTGTTCGATTGATCTCTCTCGATCTGTTGTGTTCGATTGTACTGCTCTCTGCGTGCCACGTATTTATGTGCTGCCACAGCGAAGCCCGCAGCTCGCCGTTTGGTGGCCTTCCCGCCAAAACCTTCGGCGAGAGGAAGCCGAAGGAATCGAACTGGCGCTCTTTTCCTTTCGGGGCAAATAGAAGCAGACGAGAAGGTGACGAAGGCCGAGAAGTGCCCGCTTGCCCTCGGTCGAGAAGAGAAAGAAAACTCGACTTCGAAGGCGGAAAGGGCAGGTGCTGCCAATGGCGAGCCACAGCACGGCGGATGCAGAGGCGGCCAAGGGTGACACCACCTAGTCACCTGCCGACTTCACACTTGTGGGTGCATGACCTTACACCGAGGGGTTGGGGGGGGGGCGAGCAGTGACGATAGTGGGCGAGGAGATGGTGGGCAAGACCAGCCTCCACCGGGTGCTCTGCGGCACCGGCCCCTTTGAAGAAAAGTACACACGCCAAGCTTTGCACCCCCACCCACTGGCAGTGCAACGTCCGGCACGGGCCATAAGTGCTGACGTCAGCTGCCACGGCCGCGGTGGGCAGGTACCGCACGACGGTGGGACCTCCGCGGCCTCACACGTTCACTTGGCCCGGCACCGAGAGCCCCCGATCCGTCCAGCTCGTTGACACGGGTAGCCACTCCCTCGTCTCTCCGCGTGTGCCGTGTGTGTCATGTGTGCGGTGGTCATAACCCAACCACGTCTCGCGCGTGCGTGCAGCTGGCCAGCTCCGCATGCGCAACTACACCCTCAGGTTCGTCGACACCCCAATGCTGGCATCACTTACCACCTCATTAGCTGGCAGCTTGTCGCGTTCGCGCCTGACCCCCGAGCACCACACCCACTCCAGCGGCCTCCCAGGCTCCAAGGGCGTGTGGCTGACCTTCGACCTCAGCCGTGCGGCCAGCTTCAAGCAGCTCGAAGAGGGTACATACCAACCGCCGCCTGGTCACATCCGCCTTCCTGCACGCCACGCAGCACATGGCTTACATTCATCTTTTCGTGCTCATGAGCAGAGGAGTGGCTGCGGCACATCAACACCAAGACGGGCGGCGGTGCGGTGGTGATGCTGATCGGCAACAAGGCCGACCAGCAGCGGGAAGTGGGGGCGGACGAGGCCGAGCGATGGGCCGACCAGCACGGCCTGCTCTACGCCGAGGTCTCCGCCAAGGAGCCGGCCACCGTCGAAGCCGCCCTCAACACCCTGCTTCGCGCCATCCCCTTGTAGCTACAGCTCCACAACATAAATACTTAAATGAACTAACACCAATTATAACAATAATTAAGAGTTGATATTTAAATAAATAAATAACAGAATAAATAAATACAAACATTAGCACGCGTGGAGAAGGTGTCAAGTGTCGTGGGAGGCGGCGAGGTGGTGTGGTCGCTTGGTGCTGCTGGTGCTCCGTCTCCGCGAGGCCGATGAAAGGGGCGCGCTGCCGACCCGCTTGAGGGGCAGGTGCGGCCGCTGCTCGGCGCTGGCAGCGGCCTCCACGTCGGTGGTCGCGTCGTAGACGGCCAGTACCCGGCGGGCCTCGACGTCGTAGTCAAACGACACCGAGGGCTGGTTGGGCGCTAGGGCGTTGGCGGCGTTGATGAATCGAATGCCGTCCCGTTCCATCGTCCCTCGCGAATCATGCACATGCCTGTGCGGGGCCAAAAGCGAGAGTACGGCCAAGCCTCAGATCAGCATTGAACGTGTCGTGTGTCGTGCGTGTCGTGTGTCGTGTGTGGCTGTGCGTGTTGGTTTGGCGGTGGCCATACCCAAACATGTGTACGACCGGCCTCACTCGCTCGAGCACGGTCGCCTGAAGGTAGGGACAGCCCTGCGCCAATGGAGTCATCAACAACAATAAGGCGTAGGCGGGCGGGCGGGGTTGTAGGGTTGTATGTAGGTACCATGTTCTTCTGGAGATAGGAGTCGAGGATCTGATAGGGCGGCATGTGGGTCACAAGAAAGTCAACGCCCTCGGGTATGTTGTTCCACTTTTCGTACAACCTTGGGCTTTTCTGTTACGTGAGTGCGTCGTGTCGTGTGTCGTGTGTGTCGTGTGTGTCGTGTGTGTCGTGTGTGTCGTGTGCGGTGAGATGATGCCAGGGACATTTGTTGGAACAATATGAGACGGGCGTACGCTGGACATGGCGAAGCCGAGGCCCATCGACCCAATACCGGTGGAGAGCGCCCATTTCAGGGAGGGAAGCAGGAAGAACTTGTTGCGCGCAATCCAGGGCGCCCCATAGATACGAATCCCTGCGCGCGCACACGGCACACAACAGTCGGCACACACGGCACACGGCACACAAGTCGGCACACACGGCACACACACATAAGTCGGCACACATGAGACGAAGATTGACCAGCTCGCGCGAGTGGCGGCATGCGACGAACCTTCAACGGTGATCTCGTCGTCCTGCAGATAGGTGGCGTTGGTGAAGAGGGCCTTGATCTCCGCCGGGCTGTGCTTGAGCTCGTCCAGCGCCATCTCGTGGTTGCCCGCGATTACGATCTTGTGCCGGTGGGGCAGGACGCCCAGCCACTCGTTGAACTCGACCACCTGGCTCAGCGGGCCTGATTGATCGGGCGACAGACGAGTGAGCCCCTACGACGACGACGACGACGACGACAGAGTGGTGGTGGGGAGGGCACCTCGCGTGGAGAAGTCGCCGCAGTGGATGAGGATGTCGCCGTCGGTCACCCGAATGCGGCGGTGCTCCCAATGCGTGTCCGACAAACACACCACACGCACCACATGCCCGCTCGCGTAGGTGTGGTGCACCACCTCGCCCTCCTTGTACCACACATCAAAAAAAATTGAATTTAAAATAAAATAATAATATCGTACTATTTAAAGAAATAGATAATTGATGGGAGGCGTACTGGAGGAAAGACTTCAGATGAGGCGGAGGTGGTAGTGGGGAGCATGTGGTCTGGCTCGACGTCGGATTGATTGGTGTGATGCTGGTAGTCGGTTGCGGAGATGTCGCCGTCCGAGTTCTGTTGTGGATGCAGAGTGCGCAGGGGAATGTCGTTGCCAGACGAGGCGGCCCGTTGCGCTCTCATCTCCCGCGCCTTTGGGTTTGGTTGTTCGCGGTCGTCCGCTTCTGTTCGTTCCCAGTTGCCGTGTTTTTCTCCCCTAATTTCTTCCGAATTCTTTGTGTTCCATTCTCTGTGGCACGCCCCACAACCCACCAAGGAGGGTGCCCAACACACGGCGAGTGGCGATTCGATCTACAATGAATATTTACAATGCCCTCCGCCCTTCTTCTTCTTCTTCGTTGCCTTCGATTTCAGGCCTCTGCTCTGGCGGTTCCTACACTCTTCACTCCCCTCTGCACTCCTCTGCCCATCAGAGGCCGTAGTAGCCGGCGTCCTGGGGTCGATGGCCGATGGCCGCGCCGGTCGGTGTGGTGATCTCCTCGTAGCCGTTGCCGTTGCCCGCCACCTTCCCGGGGCTCACCCCCGTTCCCGATGTGCCTCCCTCTCGTTGGGCTCGCTCCTTCCAGTCCTTGGCGGTCATGGTGATGGTCGCGTCGGCGGCGTTGCGCGGCTCGAGGGTGATGTAGGCCGAGTCGAAGACTTGGCTCTTCTCCTGCGGCAGCGGCTGCTGCGGCTGCTCTGGTGGTGGCCCACCGGCCGCCTTTTTAAGTCCGAGATCCACGTACTGTGAGGCCGGCAGCTGCTGGGCCTGTGCTGGATGGTCGCCATCTCTCTTCGCCTTCGTCGTCTCCTTCGTTTTCGCTTTCGTTCTCTTGTTCGCTCTTCTTTGACTGCTCGACGCGAGGACCGCGTAGTCGGATGAGGGAACGACCGGGGAGCCCGCCTGCGGCGAAGCCTCGCCGCCGGTGGAGGGGCTCCGCCCGAGCTCTGCGTAGGAGATCGTCGGCGTGCTCGTCGTTGGTGGATTCCTGGGCTGCTGCACCTCCACGTAGTGCGACACGGGCAACTGGTGTGGCGCGGCGGCGGCCACGTCGAGGCCGGGGCCCACCTCCCCCGACTCGGCGAAGAGCAGTTCGTTCTCCAGGTAGTCCTTCTGCTTCTTCTTCTTCTTCTGGTCGAGGTGGCCTTCGTTGTCTTGGTCGCCATCGTCGCCGTCGCCACTGCTGTCGTAGCTTTCGTCGCTGTCGTCCGACTCCTCCTCGCTGCCAACGCCGTCGAACGCCTCCTTGAGCTCGGTGAAGGCCGCGGTGTTGGCCCTCGCCACGAGTTCGAAGTCGTCGTTCCTCTGAACAGTGCGGAGATGATGGAGAGTTAGAGAGAGCCACGATGGCCGAATGCCTTCTACACGCTCTCTCGTGGTAAGTACCTCGGTGATGAGCTGCTTCATGAAGGACTTGACCTCGTCCTTGATGCGCTTCATCTGCCACTCCTCGTAGCTCAGACCCTCGAGCGCCATCTCATCTGTGCACACGTCGACGATGTGTAAACGAACGAACGAACAAACGAACGAACTTGGCACGTGCGGTGTGACCAACTTGGCACGCATACCTTCGGATTCGCCCTCGCTCTCCTGATCGCTGATCTCGAAGGCGTCGGCGCTAATGTCGTGCAGCTTGTGCAGCTGCTTGTAGTACTTCGAGAGCACGTCGGCCACCTTGTCAAACGACGGCCTACACGCACGCCCAGTGACGTGAGCCAAGCGCATGTGCGGTGGCGCGTGTGCGTGTGCGGTGGTGTCGTGTGCGGTGGTGCGTGAGCCAGCAAGAGTACCGTTGCGAGGGGTTCTGGCGCCAGCACATCTTCATGACGCGCGCGAAGATCGGGGTCGCAGTCCTTGGGAATCTTGAGTCG